CTAGACAAGAAACCAAAGCTCCTTTATAGTCTGTGATTCAAGTTCCTGTGCCTAGGAGTGCTTATTTTATGAAATGCAGCCTGCAGAGAAGTACAGACAGTGCTGAGAGCAGATGTCAGCCTAGGACAGTGTCCTGCTGGTCACTCCTCTGCCAGGGACTCCATCCCCAGCCAAGTCCAGCACTGAAGGACAAGCCACTCATGAGCCTCAGCCTATCAAGAGCAGTGGCTTGTAGCTACAGCTTTGTGGGCAAGAGCTTCAGCTGTCACAAACTCTGAAAATACTGAAAATGCTGCAGACCAAGCCCACAACCACCTCCTCACACAAAGGCATTTTCAAACAGCACTCAGAACGGGTACACAGCGTGCTAAGCTGCAGAGGTTCACAGTCATTCTGACATTATCAGCACTCAAGAGGACTAAAACATGCAATGAATCTTGGAGGATTGCAATCTGCAGCAAGTAATGCTCATATTAAAATTAATAATTGAGTGATCTTAATTATTTGATTCAATAATTGGCCGTACTTAATATTGTACTTGAGCTGTGAAGAGATGAACGGTTCAAAGGCTTGTTCCTTCAAAGACAAAATACTAATGATTTCACCAGCCATTTAAAATGCAAGATAAACAGATGATAAACATTATTCACTCTAAATTGATGCATTTATTTATTTATTTATTCACTTAATTTCTTCAACTGGGAACAGCTCCAGCCTGCTTGTCATGCATCCTCCTGATGAAAAACACAAGTGAGAAAGCTTTGTGCTTCTGGTTTTTTAAAATTTATTATTAGCAGTAGCATTTTTGTAACTCCAAAGAATGGGCTATATTAAAACAATGCAAAGAACTCATGTAACCAAAAATAAGAAAGTCAATGACAACAAACACAAAAGTATGCACCCATGCTCAGAACCCTTTCTTTGTTGGGGGTGTGCTCTCAGAAGTGTTCACTGTCATCACTTCCCCTAAACTGGAGAAAACAAAACCATAACTTCTGCCTCCTGAAAAGACTGAGATAACATGTGGGGGTTTCTATCACGAGATAACAACTTGTCCTGGTACAACCCAGAAAAGTAATTTAACATTTACCAGAAGAACCATCAATGTTTCTTCACATGGATGTCATTCAAAATCAGGAGAGAGCCTTTGGAGCTTGATCAATATTTTAGTGATACTTTAAGAAATATCAACTTTTGACAGCAGGTAAAAGTATGTGTATCTTTTCATTGCTTGCTAGTGTCTTCTGGGTATTTCAAATAAAATTAAGTATGCACAGTTAATTTTTAATTATTAGGAAAAATCCTAAGTTGTAATTAAAAAGATCATCTTGTGTCCAATTTCCAAAATTAAACTCAGACTTAGGGGGAGTTCTCTACAGTACTGCAAAGTCAAGCCAAGACTTGTTTGTGGTGATAGAAACTGGAGGCAAAGGTTACATTTAAGCACACAGAGACAGTCACATTTGAAAGCACTGCTAAATATCAACTCAACCACTTACTGTGATTTTGGTAGCTTTGTTCAGAACATTTACCCATTCAACTAGGTCCTGCTGATCATTGGCTTGTAGAAAGTATTTTCTCATCCCTGCATTCATAACTGTTAAAAACCATTATGGAAAAGTCAGCAACACTGAAATTTAAGAGCAAACTTAATATCATTATGAAAAGATTTGATTTCAGATGAAAATTCCATTTAAAGTATTAAATGCTCTGCTGTGTTTCCTTTCAGAAAGTCATCTTAAGACACATAAATTCACTTGATTGCTTTATTCTAAAAAATAGTAATTTAAGCTTTATTCTGAAAGATAGTAATTTAACTCTCCACTTAAATGGCATGGCACAAACTTTGAAAAATGATTTTTCTGACCTAGAAATGAAATCTTGAATTTTATCAAAATATTCTAAAGTTCCATTTCCTCTTTCTAAATTTCCCCAAGCAACAAGTTTTATACCTGGGGACTTCTACAATTCCTCCTTTTAATCCTCTGCCCAGAATCTGTTATCTTTTGTAACATTATGAACATGACTATGGTCATTGATTTACCTTTAATTTTTTTTTTTAATTGCTGGGAAAATCAGTATTAATTACTAAGTATATGATGCACAGGACCAATCAACTTTAAGACAGCTACAACACAAATTTTATTTTACTTTAGTGACTTGGCAGAGAAACTTATTTTAATGAGTTTATATCTCTACCTCCCAACCCCTGGCATCCTTTATCCAAAAAGGGCAAACACATTTCAGTGTATCTGCAAAAAAATAATGGCTTATTCTTGAAATAGGTTTTACTGTCATTACAACCATCTGAATATAAAGACAATAAATTTATATTTTTCCTCTACAAAGCATGAAAACTCTCTAATAAATGAGAGATATTGAAGCCAGCATCTTGGATCATGAAGGTATTTTAGAGCTGGCCCATTGACAGGAGAAGCTTCACAGCTGCTGAGGACAAAGCCTCCACAGATGTGCAGAGGCATCTGTAGATGGCACTGAACTGACACACCAGGTACTTGCCTAAAACCAGGAGGAGCTTTAGGATTATCTAAAGCTTCAGGAAATTTTAAACAGATTGAAACCTAGAAGGCACTCCAAGAATTTTTTTTTGTGCAGCAACAGAAGCTGAAATTTGACGTAAGAGCATTGGCTGACCGTATTTTTAGATCAATTAAATCAACTCTTTCACCAGTAAAACAGATTTCAATAGTTAAACTTCTTGTCTTCCCATCTGACAGGCAGGCTACGTTTTTGAAAACAACTGTCATTACTCATTAATGCCTCAAAAATTTCAGACATCTGAAAAAAACCTCTCACCTACTCCTCATTAAGCTGCAATATGGAAAAACACAAAAACACCTTATGAGGAAGCCAACATTTCCATCATACTAAAGCAGAAAGTGAACACAAGCTGTTTTTTAAACACTACCAGCTGCAGCTGGTACCAGAACTGCAGAGCATTATCCTTGTTCCAAAAGTCTGAAGAAGGCACTTGATGCACACAGCACATGCCAAACTTACCAAAACAGAACTCTGCCTTTGGCCTCAGCTTAGTTGCATCGCTAACCTAGAAGGGAAATTAAGATTATAAATGTCACAAAATACACATCAGATATCACAAGTTTTATTTGCTTTCAAGGGGGTAAATTCAAAGATTAGCAGCACAGCAAGGTGGTTAGGCATAATGATAAAGAGAACTAAAAACGAACAAAAATGAAAGGCAAACAAGGAAGGTGGGAAGATGCAGTATTGACAACAAAAATGCAAAGGAAGTACAAGAAATTAACAGAAAGACAAGAAAAGGTCAAGTATTTTTCTCCATTTATTTGTTAATGCAGTATCTTCTACAAATTTAACCACAGAAACTTTCTGAGTTCACAGTTCCCTTTCAGACATATTTAGAACTGCGTACACAATGTAAAGAACTAATATTTTTTAGAAATTTTTCTGTCCTGTCTATTACAAGTCATTATTACTTGTAAGGTATCACACCCAAAGACATCTTCCCCTTTGTAAATGGCCTGTCTTTTCTCCAAGACTAATGGGAATTCAAATACTCATAAAGAACTGAAATGTCAATTTTATAAGCACAAAGAGCTGCTGTCTGAAATCACTAAATAAACTTAGACAACACAGCAATTAATCTGTTCTTATTCTAACCTGAACCTATTGAAGTGTTGTAACACTTCTCTAATTCAGGAGTATCACAGAAGCAAAAGGAGTAAGTGGCATTTAAATTTGTCTGAAGTTGAGGCCCTTGGTAGTTACCACCAAGAATTTAATGAGTGTCTCACATAATAATTATCTTACCTTTGAAATATAGGTAAGTTTAATGCACCCAACAGGTGGAGATCCAGAGGGAAGATTCTGAAACAAATCACATATGTTACAAAGTGAAACTAGTTTATTCTCACACCACAGTCAGTGTTTATGCATAAAAAACAAGTAATTCTACAAACAAAAAGAAAATCCTACATATTTTTATAGACAATGCACAATGTATGCTTGAAACAGGATCTAAACTACTTGTTTATTATACACACATCTGTTAACTAAAAACAGAAAGACTGCTAGAAACAATACAAATAGTAATTGTTTCAGAGGTTTATGTATTTTACTAGAGGAAAAAGGATTCTTGTGGGTCTGCATCCAGGAAATCCGGAAAGAATACTTTGTCCTTAACAGATGTTGGAGTCTCATGTACTTTGACCAGGGCAGGAGGAAGGGACAAGTAGTGACATTCATCTATTATGTCAGATACTTCAAAGGCCACCTCACATATTTTCCAATCACTTCAGGGATTTAGCAAGGCCTTCACATAGTTACAAGAACTCTGCAGCTCTTCAAACTTACAGCAGAGGAAGAAAATCAAGAAGTTTCAATTTGCCTCTTGCAAGAAACCCTTTCATTTGTCCATGTAAAATAAAAGGCCTAACCTAGGCCTGGGTGTGCACTGCAAATATCATTAAGTCTTAAAACTTCTGAGGAATTACAATTTCTACAGCACTTCAAGATTTTGTCCACATGCCCCGAATTGCTTCTTTTCACTCAGCGAGACCAAATGTTTGAAGTCTGTGTTGCTTGCAGAAATTCTTTTTCTCCTCAGTGAGAGCTGCTAAATGCTTCAGTCACAAGTCACATCCATCGAGCTGCACTTCATTTACATTTTGTTTTTGCTGGTTCCTTTGAACAGCAGACTCATGGTTTTTAACTCTGCTGCTCCTGGCAGAAGGGTACATGGACATTCTTCTGGCAGGCAGCTGTCAGCTGACCTGGATCCTGTGCTCTCACTGCCTCTGTGCCCAAACCTTGAGCAATTATCTGTTCTTCCCTCTGCTAGGAAACACAGGGATGCAGGCACATTGTAAAAGTAGTTTTATCTAAAGGCTGCTCCCCATCCCAATGGATACAAGCTGTCCTCTCTCATCACCATTCATGCACTGCAATTGCAGGGTTCACTACAAATTGCTTTTCAATGACTGATTCTGTTGAGGGAAAGCAATGTGTAACACAAGGAAAAACACACATTGCCATGTAAGGTTAAAGGTGAATTAAACACTGGGGTGTATGATTTGGCTCATCTGGTTATATTAAACTGATTTACAATTATTTCGTTTACACAATGATTTTTTCCCCCAGCTTCCAAGTCCATAATACTAAACCCCATTTTTTTTTTGTTAATTCGTTAGAAAATCCAAAATTGAGACAAACCAGGAAACTCCTGCCAGGAAGAGCTCACCTGTGGGTTATCCATGTACCACACCAGGCTGTCCTCCTGCGTGTCCAGGATGAAGTACCTCCGCAGGAATTTCCCACTATTCTCATTTTCCTCAATGTCCAAGAAACCACAGATGCGATTCTGGCGATCCACATAAGGCATTTCTGACCCTGGACATCACACTGCACAACAAAAAAAAGCACAGGAGGTAAGCAAAGTCCCTTGTTGCTAATTTTAAGACTGTTCTGTGCATGACATTTTGAGCAGTTTCAATCAGTAGCTTCAAGAAGTTTCTACGGAAGGGTAAGTGAAGCGTAGCTGCTCCCCACACCTCCACCACTGAATTTTTAGACAGGACTTTCATACTTTGCAGCATGTATTTAACAGATCCAACAGCCTAAGTGTAAAGTTACAAGGGGTAAGCAGCAGATGAGCATCAAGATTTTGACAAGATCACTGAAAAATAAAGGTTTCTCCTTCACAACATGCAGAAAATTGAGACAGCAGTGGGGTTACACTTCCTCCTTTGACATTGCCTCTCATGGCCAAGAAAGAATCTTTGTCAGGAGCTCCACTGCCCAATGCAATTTTCATATCTAGCTTATGCAAATGCAATAAAAAAGCTTTTAGAAACATTGTTCTCATTTTTCTTCTCTCCTACTAAAAGCACTTCATGTCTTGCTGTGCCTAAGAAGACATCTTTTCATTCTTATACATTAAATAGGAAAAATGAAGCTGTATGTGCACACCCTCTTCTCATGGTACTGAGGACTGAGTGCACCAGGCTTTTATTTTGGCTTTTGTTTGGGGCGGGGAAGTTGGGGTCTTTTTTTTTGCTTTTTTAGTTTGTTTTGCTTTAAAAAATTAAATTAAAAGCTGCATTGTGCCCACCTATTACCATTTTACCATTCACCTTATATGGATCTGCTTTTTGCATCACGAGTTTTGCTTCCTTTTATTTTATGGGACAGTCGTTTTACTTTAAGAGCCAGCCTTGTAAGACCAACGATAAATTTCCATACTCATATAAAAATGATAAAAATCAGCTTCATGCCAATCTTTCCCAGGGCAGGAAAGAAATTATTCAGTCTTCACATTTTGTTACAAAATTCAGAAATAGCACAGATCTAAAAATACTAATGTAAGACATAGAAGGTTGAAGCACTTCACATTTTTCATAATTTTCCAACTTTTCCAGCTTTAACTGTGTAGTATGGAGTTTCATTTTAGTATTTCTTTACCTTTAATACTTTTTTAAGGTTACTCAATTTAAATACATTTGAATACACATACAATGAGACAGACATCTGATAATTATTTGTAATTATATACTGATATACCACACCAAAACATGAGACTGTTTTTCAAGTGTTACTTTGGGGAGAGAATTAGTATTTATTTTAGGGACTCAGATATCCACTTTTTTTTTTTTTTTTTTTTTTTGGGGGGGGGTTGGAAATCAAACCTGTAACATACAAACATATAAATGTATAATTGCATTTACAGCTGTCATTTTATGACTCATTAGAACACAAGCAAATTTTTGACTCGATCACTTTGAGAAACAGCTTTTAAAATCACTAAACAAGCAACAATGGTTGAAATATGCAAAGGTTTATTCTTCAGTAAAGTAAGAAAATTTACTAAGGTAATTCAATTTTCTTGGTGTGTTCCTCACAATTTAAATATCACAGATCTAAGTCAAGTTCTGTAAGAAAGTTATATTTCTAAGGACCACAAAAATAAACACTTGAGCACTCAGGACAATATCATTATTTTAACAAACATTCATCAGTAATTCAATTGAGGCTCTTGGGATCACTTCACACTGAAGCAACATCACCCTATAAACACATCTGAGGGTAAGCTTAAGGGTAGCTGTTCTCTAAATTACACCACTAATCTGGCAGAACTTGGCATCACACCTTGTTTGCATTTAAATGAATATAAAAATTACCATTTATCAGTATTGCCTTAATTTGTGCCAGGCAGTCCCTCAACAAAATCATCCAGCCAGAACACCCTGCAGGCTTCACATGAACAGTTTATGAAGCCCAGAAAAGCCCTGTGCCTAAAAAAAAGCAAATATTGGTGGCTGGTTTCCTGTCTGAGCAGACTTAAAGCTGTGTTCTCTGCAGATGTGAAGAAAATGAAACAAGGAAAACTTGTTTTTGAAACAAGATCTGGATTGATTAAGAATCCTTGAATAAAACCAACTGAATTTTCAAAGCATTTTCCCCCCATAAGAGAATCTATGTTTCAGAAAACCTTTCAAGGAAAATGAAAGGAGGATGCTCATAATGCTCCATTATGAACATACAATTAGCTAAAGCTAAACTACTCCAATACTTGAATTTTTTTTTTTTCCAGGGCAAAAGACAAAACTCAGAAGCTTTTTCTTATCTGTCAGTAAACCAATTCTCACAGAAATAAAAAAACCCCAAACATAAATTAATAAAGATTTTCTTTTTCAAAGTACTGCAAGCTAATTTCAAGCCTATAAAAATGATACTATTTGCACCTACTCTATGCTCTAAAGAATATGCAGCATAAAGTAACACTAATGTAAAAATGTAAATTGTATAATTGCTGTTTTCTTCAAATTAGTTAATAAACTCTGATGGGATTACAGACCTCTACAAGGCTGATGGTCTTAAAAAATAAGAGACAATAAAAAACTCTTTAACTTTATAATAAATTGAAAGCTAACACAGTATCATATAACTGTTTTCCATTTTTAAAAGTCTGCTTCCACCCATTACATCCTGGCAAGATTCCCCTGTAAATTAAGAGCAATTCTATTCAACCTTCATTAATAAACCACAATTTGCAATGCACATTAAAAAAAAAAAAATCAATTTGTGCCTTTCTTCCAGTTCCTAAAGGGACTGCACACATGACAAAGCCAGCACCGTGATCCCCTTCCCGACAACTCTAAACAGAGCCAAAAAGCATTGATGGAATTGCCATGATTCATACAAGGAATTGCAGAACTCCAATTTCTCAGCATAGGAAATCCGGCTGGAAGACCACTAGCCAAAGAATTCATCAGCACTTCAACTTAAAAACATCCTCAGAACACAGGTCACGTCTTGCATAGATGAGATTTTTCATTAAATTATTTGAAGCAATTACGAAACAAAAATCTCCAAGTCTGTACATTTTACAGCATTATTACATTCACCCTTAGTTATTTTCTGCAGCACAGAACAATTAACTCTTCTAGAATTAAGCATTATAAAAAGATTATGAGTTTTTAGGAAGGCTGAAGGTATCAAACCTGTTACAGATGACATACAACTTCATTTTATTTGCCTTCCCCTCCCTGCAGTGGAGATGTGGGTCAATGACATTGTGCTACTCCAGGAAAAACATCTCTGTGGCCCATTTCCTCCTGGTTCTTGCCACAATCCTTCAGAAACAAAGATGTTCTTGAAAATCCATTTTGTGGTGTATAGTAACACTCTGTAAGAACTCCCAGCTCCTTAAAATTCTTTCCTGGAGGGCTGTGTTATAATGCAAAGAGGAGGTGTCACTTATTTTTGAAGCCTTACATGCCTCTTTCCAGCAGCAGAGTACTAATTTAGGAGGTCCATACCTTACCTCACCAGCCCAGCTTCTCTCAGATTTCCCCTCTCCCCGCTCTTTTCCTCTGAGGTACAGCACACAGTGACATTCCCCAACATTTATATCCCACACTGAGGGCTGCCTGGCCTCCTGGGCACCTCTATAAATATAAATAAAAATCCTAGATCACCTTCCCCAGTCTCACTGTAAATGCATGACTGCACAAGCAGGACCTGCAGAGGCACACGAGCATCTCCTCTGCACCATTTATAACATACAGCTCAAACTCTCCCACATTAATTCCTATTTTTAGCTTCCCACCAGCACCTGTTCTTGAGTTCACCTCCATTACAGACTGGTTGCAGCCTTCGTATCTTCAAGTACAAAGTCTAGACAAGACTGAAGTGAGGTGCCAGATAACATTTCTGTGGCCCAATCTCTCCTTGACTTGATTTCCACAGGTAGGTTCAAACCACGGATCACTGGCTGACTAAAGCAAGTGGAATTTTGTCTTCATAAAGACCATGCAATAGGCTTTGCACTATGACAGGAGAGTTTAATTAAGAAACACAAGAAAGGCACTTAATATCTCTTTATTTTACATATCTTTTCCCCAAGCTTCAGGTGTATTTTGTTACTTTTATTTCTTTAATTTAGAGGAACACTTCTACATCCTGCTCTTTAACATTTGGAACTTTGGATTTAACTCACCCTAGGAGATGACTTTGGGGTTCTTTTTCTATCAGCTAAGAAGATTCAGAAACATCCATTACCTACTTACTCATCCCTATGAAATGAAGAACAACATTCATACACCTCCACTTGATAAATATAAAATGATGCCATGAGTCATGCCCACCCCTCCTCCCCAGCTCCCTTTTTAAGCTCTGCTGTTTACAGCAGCACAAAGGGAAGGCAGAGCAGCATCCCCAGCGATCTCCAGTCTTTCCTGCAGTTCCAGGGACAGCTTAATTAGTGAGGGCTCCTGCCTTTTGCCTAGGCAATCACTCTCAGCTTCCTGCTGTAAATCAGCTGCTCTCCAGCTGCTCATCTCTTTTACTGACCATTTACTGCCTCCCGAGGGCAAGGGATGAGTTCAGCCTGTCCTGCTTATCCCCTGAAGAACACTGCAGTGAAAGCTTCTTGTGCACATCCAGGACAAGGAAAGGGAGCAGGGAGGGGCAAATTCCACCCCTAAGACAAGCAGCTCAGAGCAGCCTCTGAAAACAAGTCACATAAATCTTCCAGAGACAGTAGTTCAAACCTCTTTTTATTTCCTTGAAAATCTCCCAGCAGATGCAGCCCACCAGAGAGATAACTTACAGTATAAGACAATACTGTAAATCTCTGCTTACCTTTCATACAACTTCCAAACTACCAAAACATAACAAAAAAAACCCCCCACAAACAACTAATCCAGGAGCTGGAGAGGTGACTTGGCTGCAATTCTTTTGACAACAAAAGATAATTCAGAATTTAGAGATTTAAAATTACAAGCCCAGCTTTTCAATTTCCTAGAGATCCTCCACTGCCTCATTTTTGTGCTGGAGGGTACAGCAGACATTGGACACTTCTGTTAACAGGGAAGACATGACTGATTTGCCAGCAGCCTATG